GTGGGTTGAGCATCAGGGATAACTCCATCATCTCATTTCCCAGGTACCCCTTCCTCATTTAGTTCTCCATCCCAGCCTGCAGCTGAGCCAGGTGAAAGCCCTTCTTGCTTCGCCCCCTGCTGAGCCATGGAGTCCCGAGACTCTTCGGAAGAGAATCCACAAATAGGTGCTGAGACCTACCCTGTACTATACCAGGCAGTGAGCATGACGTGGGGGGTGGGAAGGGGGGGAGACCGGGGAGTGGGGGGTCCTGGACGACACTGAGTCTCTATCTGTGAGGCGCTCACAGTCTGGTTAGGGCAGACGGGAGATACCATTGTAAGTCTATTTCAAAGCCTGAGCGTTCTTGAAGAAAAATATAAGTGAGGAAATGTCACGTGATGGGGAAGCTATTTCCTATAACATCCTATGGACACGTGGTCGGGAGAGACCAGTCCCTGGAGAAGGACATTATGCTGGCTGGGTCAAGCGGGCAGACAGGGAAAGAGAGGAAGGCCCTGCGGGGGCTGGATGGCTGCTCCGTGGCTGCAACATTGGGCTCAGGCACAGGCACCATTGTGGAGATGGTGCAGAACCGGACAGTGGTTCGTGCCGTCGTGCATAAGGCTGCGATGGGTCAGAACCAACTCCCTGGCACCCAAGTGACAACAATATGGCTTTAGAACTCGGGGTGTGGGTCCCCGTGACTTGACACCGCCTCGCAGAAGAACTCGCCACAAACAGCCCCCCAGTCCAACAGGTCACCTGCGCAAGTCTCTAGGTCAACTCTGGTGGAGCTATGTCTTGTGAAGTCAGATAACCACCCGGACAAGGGAGCCAGAGCCCCTGGGTATAAATCCTCCCTGCGTCCTTCCTAGCCCTGAGACCCAGGACACTGACTGCATGAGCCTCTCGGTGCTGCACCCTTCCCATCTGAAAAATGAAGACAATAGTGGGTCTACTAGGCAGGATCCATTTGAGGTGGAATGAGTGAATACATGTGAGTTGCTAAATGCAATGCCCAACATAGGGTTCGGTGGTAAGCTATGCTGTGGGTTGCTTATGTTGTGTTGTTAGTGTTTGTTTTTTTACTGCCCTTCCCTCAATGCAGCACAGAACAGAACACATAGAAAACGTGCTCATCCTCCAGAAAAGCTGGTCTCCACCCAGCTCTGATTTGAACAGGCCCTCTAGTCTTGGACCTCGGTCTAGGAAACCTGCCGCTCATCTGGCTGCGCACCATGGAGCAACGGTTTGATCTCTTAGCACCTCCGTGTCGGTTAAAAAATGACTTTTCTACATGGTTGAACGCTTTCTCACACGTGGTACGCCTCAGTATAGTGACTGGCTCAGGGGCAATGCTCAGGCTGAAGGCAATTTTAATAGGAGCAGGAGGAGGAGGAGGAAGAAGAGGAGGGACATGGGTGGGGTGGGGTGGGTGGGGGCTAGGGGCATGGAAGAAAGGAGTCAGAACCTGGTTTTCCATCCAGCTCTGATTTGAACGGACTTTCTGATGCTTGGACCCCAGTCTTCACCTGCATAACAAGTGCCGGACAGATGCATGGCTTGTTGTGGCCCCTCTTGTGTTTATGTCTGAGACCCGTGAGTCGCCGAGAGGAGGAGGCTGGCCAGAGGACGTCTCAAAGGACACTCACAGATCAGTCTACCTCGTTTCTTCTGGAAGTGCCGCCCCTGTGTTTGTCCTGTGTCCCAAACGCACATCCCAGTGCCTTTATCTTTTCTCCTCTCACTCCCCCAAAGTTATACTCCACCAAAACACACAGTGACCCTTTGCAACAGGGTAGAACTACCCCAGTGGCTTGGCAACACTGTCACTCTCCATGGGAGTAGAAAGCCTCATCGTTCTCCCGAAGATCTGGCTGGTGATTTCGAGATTCTGGCCTGGCAGTTAGCAGCCCAACGTGTAACCACTACACCATGGGTCCCTTATAAGACACAGATGCATGCAGCCTTTGGTCCCCTCTGGATGCAGGGTTGCCATCTCCCGAGGAACCGCTAGGGGTCAGCAGAACCGGCCGAATGCCAGCTCCAGGCCCTGGCTTTCAGGGTTCCTCGCTGCGCATGCAAAGGGTTATGTAGCCTAGCACGTTGTTCCCAGGTCTCTTGATCGGAGGGACATGGTCAACTCCAGAGGGTTGTAAAGACCCAGACGATTCTTGACGAATAGAGGACAAAAGTGAAACAAACCCGGACCAAACCTTTCAACAGCACCTCGCCTCAGAGGCTCCCACAGAGCCGAGGTGGCTGGAATCACACTGTTCACCGGGGCGGCAGCCCCCCCAGAGCCCGAGGCCTCTCCGTGCACACAGAAAGACCCCGAGTACAGCCAAGCCACCTCTTCAATAGAGCCCGGTGCTTCACTCCAGGACCAGGCTGCTGGGGCCCAAACCTCACTTCTGCTACTTGGGCAGATTCCTTCGCCTCTTTGTCCCTCCATCTTCCCATCCATGAAATGGTTATTATCCCCCAAATCTGTCTCCCATGGGGCAGTGGATAGGTTCTTTTGGTTGGCAGCCAAGCGCCCGTCCCCTGAGC